AATTTTAACAGAAAACATCTTACTGTCTTCCCTTGTTTTTCAGCTATTCCTGGTGAAGGGGAAAAGCTGGGATCTATAATTCTGACTCTCAGATATGCCATGGCTATGGTGCTGTCAATAAAAAAGGTGTACGTCAGGCTTAGGTTACATGAAAGCTGATACTCTGCTCGATTGATTACATCTGGAAAACATCTTCCAATGCTTGCCAAACAGATCTTTGAGTAAAGTTTGTTTGTATTAATGAGTTAGTTGGAACAAATGTACTGCCTAGTAGTGTTAAATAGCTATCTCTAAATGGAGTCTCTTTTTAAAAAAATTCAGTAGAAAGACGTGAATAGGTATAGTAGTGTTGGATTAGCAGAGTAAAACCTGATTTTATTTCACTCCAAAAAGGTAATTTCTAATTGTATACAGTTCCTTTGAACGTACTACTATCATGTAATATTTTACTCATATATTTGTTTTCATTTATCTTTTACCTTATTTCCCTCTTGCACTTCACTGCTGTGCAGGCTCATACTCATCTGGGTGATGCACTTAATGAAATCAAATAGACTGTAGTCAGAGGTGTGAGAAGGAAGACTGTTTCTAACAGATGTACAGCATGTTTTTTAATCATTATCTAAGAATTGAATGGTTTGAGGAGCAATGCAGTTAATAGCACCTCTGTTTTCTGTCAGTTTGTTTGTTAGATAAATAGACTTTAAATTCCTGAAAATAGGCTTATTATTTAGTCTTTAATGGAGATGAATAGTTCATATCAGGACCTTTAGCAGCAGCTTTGAAGAAGGGAAAGTTTTCCCTTCCTCTGTCTTACTGGTCACCAGGTCAGATTCTGCTTTAGCTCAGCTCTAAGCTAAGCTAAGTTTGTTTCTGATTTTTTTTTTTCTCAAATGTTACCATTGTATTAGAAATTTCAGCAAGATGCGGTGTTAGCATCTTGATAAATCTTGTTAGCATCTAGTTAAAATTAGGCTAATTTTAGTGTGACCTTACAGAAATGCAGTGGCCTAATGTCACATTGAGAAGGCTTCTGTGAAGTCTACATCCTTAGAACCATGTCTTTGTTTATTTATTTTATTCATTTTCTACACACTTGTTAACATTGATTAGGCTATTGTCTACAGAAACAAAATTGTCAAGTCTATGTTAGCATCAAGCTTTCCACTTTATTTATTTCGTTTCACAGATTTCTCAGGGAAAATCCGGTAGAGATGTAAGTTATTGGTACATTTAAGCCTGCTGTATAATTGTGGGGGTTTGAGTTTTGTTGTGTGTTTGTTTGGTGGGGTTTTTTGTTGTTGTTTTGGGGGTTTTGGTGATATTTTTGTTGGTTTTGTGTTTTGTTGTTGTTGAAGGTTTTTAAATATCCTTTTTGCACAAACCAGTAGCAGTTTTTTGACTCCTCTAAGATAGACAACGAACCTTTCAAAATATTGTGAAATCTGTACTTAAGCTGAAATTTTTCAGCCTCTTATTGGTGTAAAATGAGTATATATATGTAAGTGGTGGATTGACCCTGGCTGGCAGGAAATCCTCTCTCTGCCCTTCCAACCTTTCCTGAGGCATGGAGTAGTTCAGGAAGGGCAAAAATAAGAAAACTCACGGATAGAGGTGAAAACAGTTTATTAAGTGATAAAAGAAAGAAGAAAAAAACAAGTGATGCTCACCACCAGCAGACTGATGCCCAGCCAGGCCTTGAACAATGGCTACTTTGGAAAAACTGCCCCTTAGTCTTATTGCTGAACATGATGTTCTAAGGTCACAGGTGATGGTAGACTTTTGAAATTTAGACTTAAAATACTTCCTTTTTCTTATGTTGTTAAGTGTTCTTTCTCCTTTCTTAATTTTAAATGCTGTGTGATATTGTACTGAACTTGCCTTGATCTGCATCACTCACCCCAGCTTTCACCATCTCAGCTCAGCTCTGAGGTGTCCACACATTCTTGTCTGAGTCACTCTGCTTCCCGCTCTGATGAGTCAGGCCCTGGGACTGGAAATATCTGAAGTTGGCAGTGTTTTATGTTCTCTCTAAATTAAACTGCTTCAGCATGATTAGAATTTGGGGCTATGCTCTTTACTTGACAACATTTTGATGTCTTTCGGGTCTCTAAAATATCAAATGTCCTGTTTTTCCATTTTTTTTTTCTGGTAAAATGGTCTCTATGTTGAGTACCATATAGAGATGAAAGCAAGGCTGTGCTTGCAGGAATTTATCTAAATTTCATTTTAGAGTTGTTGGAAAAAATCTTCAGAATCTTAGTTTGAATTCTATAATAGGGATCATCTTTTAGAGAAATGCTGTTGAAAACATAAAATTCTTAGCTACTTGAAAACATGAGCAATAATCTAACATCACCTTTGTTAAAGCTGATTTTCTTTACACTGTGGATCGGTTAGAAAAAATATAATTGTGAGGAATGACTTTATATACGAAAATGTTAGGTTTTATTTTTAGAATTCAAGTAAGTTAAAGCAAAATATGCTCTTTCAGTTAAAATTGTTCAAATATTTTGATGAGGTTTCCTCAATTGTGTTTAAAGAAAGCTATCCTTAGATTTGGCATAACTTTATCTTAGTTTAGAACAGTGTCATGAGGATCCCATATCTTAATGAAAATAAACATTTGATCTAACCTTACAAAGTGTTTGTTTTAAGATTTGAAAGGTGTTAGATCTTATTTTCACATCAAAAAACTCCAGGATCAGTTCTTGGTTCTGCCTCAATTCCTACAAGACTCCAAAATTAGTTTTAAACCAGTGTTTTTGTTAATTGATGGTATTTATGTAGCAATGTAGTTCTACTGTATATACAACTTTAATGTCAGTGTTTTTTCAGATTTTGAATGTTACTTTTCTTTGCTACTTACATCACTGTCCAATTTGACTTCCATAAACATCTTGTCATAAATGTGTTGTTTATAGCAAGGAAATTTTTTTTCTGATTAAATGTGATATTTCAAGTACTCTGTAGAGAAAAATGCTGTATGCTTGTCTCATGTGAAAGGATACATATGTATGTGAGTGTGCACACAAATATTGTTTTTTGTATCGTTTAAGTTATTAATGGAAAAGAAGCAGATGGTATTTCCTGTAATTCAGTCTTTGTTCTGATTTTACAAGTGGAATAACTTGAATGGTGTTTAGAAGGCTTCCAAGTTCTTTTCAAACATAATTTCTGTTTTTCTGATGGCATTTAAAGCAAAATTAGAGGTTTGCTTTACCAAGGACATGAATATAGAACAATAAGTATATTGGCCTTTAAAATTCAGTGATAAAAAGACAAGTTTTTTATCAAAAGAAGTTTCTGAATAAATACAGAGCTTACTGAATTTTTAGTATACCATATGCATCTCATTCTAGCTCCATAAAATAAGGGAATGTGGATCATGCTTTAATTGCCAAGATAGCTGCCTTTTAAAAAAGGAAGATTAATGGATTGCTGAGACTGCCTGGTTACCTTTTCTGCAGCAGCCAAATGGGATGAGTACTCTTGGGTTACCTGGGACTAAGAAGAGCTGTGTTGTGAGGCAGTGATTGCTGCAGTCCAGGGCTACCTGAACAGCTGGAATGGCCCCTTCCCCACTGTCCCTGTGTTCAGAACTTTCAGCTTTCACTTGACAGATAGCTCTTTTGAACCTTCTCTCATTTAGCTGGTGGATGGTATTGCAAGCTTGAGGCACCAGTTTAAGATTTGATCCCATTCTGACTTCTGTCTGGCAGCAAAGGTTATGAAATGGATGTGATGAATGGGTGAGTGGTCTCTCAGGAAAATATTGAACTCCATCCTCACATAGTGTAGCTATGAGACAATGGAGCTTGGCGTGGAGTTTCTTAGAGTTACAACTAAACCTCTATACCCAGACACTGTGTGGCTTATTCTGGGGCATATTTATTTGTGGATTATAAATATAAGTTGCAGCCTACTAGGTAGTCCTACTTCAGTGCTTGCCTTATTTGTGTGTTGGAGGAAGCACGGTGAAGCTAAACTGTTCATGCTAAAAATGATGGCTTTTTTAATGGTAGGGTTTGGTTTTTTCTGTTTACAATGATATTTTTAGTTAGTGTATATAACAGTGCGTGCTATTTTTGAGTTACCTGTAAGATACTCAAGAACTTGATGGTGATTTATACAATGTGAAATATGTTGAAATTTTAAATTTGTACAGAGGTAGTTTTCAAAATACAGCCTAACTTGGTAGCCATAGAATCATTAAATGCATGTTGTAGTAAATATTTCATGTTAGGTGTAAGTCAGAATTATCTGAAGTGCTGATCTCTGTAGCTTTTATAGGTGAAGGTAGAAACCTATATACAGATACTAAGCAAATTTAATACATATATTTTTGCAATTATTTTAGTTAATACATCAACTAACTAGTATTTTGCAATAGTGTGATGTATTTTTTGATCTACAGATTATTAGGTTTATTTTTGCAGAGAAAGTTGAATGCTTTAACTAGTCATGTGAATGAGTTATAAGAAATAAAGTATGTATTTATTTTAAAACAGTCAAATTACAAAATAGAAGTTATGCCCGTTTAAAAAAGAACAGTGTACACGAAGGCACGTCTATATAAAAGTCATATAGTGCTAAATAGTATGTAAATTCCTTTTATACAAATGTAAATTGTATATAATATGGCTTCATGGAATGTATTTACATTATGTGATTCATTGAAGACTGTCTAGGCAGAATATGACTTCTAGTTCAAATATGTTTGGAAAAAAGTATACCACTTCCGATTTTGTCTTCCTATTTAATTCAAATAGCATTGTAATTTTAGAAAAATATTTTTTCACTGTTTGTTAACTTGTAAATATTTCTGCTAACTTCAGACTCTGGAAGGCTGTGCTTAGTTATTTTAAATAGGAGAAATTGTCTTGCCCAATGTTGTGTAAAGTTTAACAACGCAGAGTGGCTTCTTACGTAATTCCTGGTTTTTGCTATCAGTTTTTTTAAGGTAATATTTTATTAATTGAACTTCTGTTTTCTTCCAGCTGACAGCACGATCGCTACCTTCCATACAGTCTGATGAGAGACTACAACCTCTGCTTAATCATCTCAGGTAGCATAAACTGAAAGCATGAGTATATTCCTTCATACAGATTAAAATAATTGTATTAGTAGAATGCTTTAGATACAGGGATTTTTTCAGACACCTCATCTGTGTGATTGGCTTTGACCGGAAAAAACCCAAAAGTAACCCTTCAACTTAAGAAAAGCTTTATAAATCACAGGATCACAGATCACAGAATGTTCTAAATTGGAAGGGACCCACAAGGATCATTGAGTCCAGCTCTTATGTGACTGACATGAAATATAATTTATAGAACTAGTGTTGCTTCTAAGTAACAAGAAATTATTTGTAACTTTTATAACATTTTTTATAGTACATGCAAAGTTGTTAAGGTTCTTTATGAACAAAACAGATTCCAAGTTACACTGCTTAGAGCATGGGCCTTCCTTGTTGCAAGTATTCTGTGCTGGTTTTGGAAGATTTCACTGTCATTGATGAATGGAGTCCTAATTTGTTCTTTTAATGGACCTAAGGAGGTTGCTGAAAGTGAACCATTAGAGTATGTTCCAACAAAACTAAATAGTCTGCCTCACTCTTAGTGGTATCTGTGTATAGATATATATACTTCCTACTTTATTTGTAGGAAAGGGAAGAGGAGTATCAGTCCTGTCTATGCTTTTTTTCCTGATGTTCTTCAGGTTAAGCATCTGGTCTCTTTCTTACATATGTGATTGCTTTTTACCACTATATATGGGAGAGTTTTCTTACTATGGTAGTATGCAGGAGGACAAGATCCATACAATTAGAGGAAGATGGCTTAGAATCATAGAATAATTTAACTTGGAGTGAACCTCTGGAGATGATTTAGTGGTTAGATCAGGTTGCTCAGGTATTTATTTCTGTTGAATTTTTAATATCTCTAAGGATAGAAATTTACTTAAATATTGGATGTCAGTAATGAAATCTCTGTTTTTGAACATGTACAGCTTTGCATTAAGATTACTGAAATTATGTTGGGTGAATTAGAAATGGAATTGTTGAAGCTCCATCATGGCAGCACTGCACAGGAATTAGGATGCAGATCTAGTTAGCATGCTCCTTATTTCCTGTGGTACTCTACTGCTTTAGGTATCTGTACCTAAAACCTAACATTTTATTTCGATTTAAAAAAAAAGTTTTATAATTTTTAATTTATAGGAAGAGGTTTATGTTTTGTTGTTTTTAGTGGAAATCAGAATAGGAAAAATGGCTTTTTTGTATCTCTGCTTATTTACATACGATTGAACTTTGTTTAAGAGCAATGAATGAAAACAAGTATTGCAGTGTAACTGTTACATAGCTGGTTAGGGATACTTCTGAATGCCAATAACCTTCAATATTATTGTTACCATACATCCCACTGGGATTTTAAAAAATATGCCTCAATGGCATGCCTTTCTCCATTTGAAGATAAAGGGCAATTAAGTTAGCTTTTTATAAACTGTGCTCTCTAGGGGTAATTACTGAGAAATTGGAAATTTCTTTTGATATATGCTGTGTGTCTATGTAAGTGGAACCAGCTTTCAGTATCACAGCGATCAGTCCTGTCTATGCTTTTTTTTTTTAAATATGGGAAAAGATTGCCAAAAAAAAGTTACTTTAACAGAGATACTGTATGCCACATTTATGCTACTTGTAGTACGTTCTTATGTTATCTTGGTAGGTATGTTACACAACTGGTAAGTTACTTCCATTTTGATTTTGTGAAAATGGAGGGACTGATTCCAGTATTTTTTGTCACCAACTGAAAAAAATTATACAAATGCTTCCAAGTTGCCTTTTTGCAAGTTTGTTTAAAATGGAGAAAATACATCAAACCTTACAACTTGAAAAGCAGGCTCTGGCAGTAAACAGACAGGTGACCAAATAGGTCATCTTTGTTATTTGTTTCTGTGAATCTGTGACTCATTGTGCTTCATCTTACTCATAAGAAAAGAGAATATTAGTTAGTTGTAGACTTTTCTCTGCTTTCATTGTGTGAATTCTTGCAGCAGTATTTTATTTTTGGCATATGTCAATAGAACTCTATCAGGGGAGCAAAAGCTTAGATAGAAATGTATGAAAAGAGCATACAGTTGAAGGTTACAGAGTATTGTTTAGTTGGTAAAGCCCAGCACTTTTTTTGGCACCCATTCATATCTGCTTGTGACTTACAAATTAACTAGTCCTCAGAAAAGGTGATGTTACTGTGGATTATGTCCTCATAGATATTGTAAACCATTCCCCTTTTTTTTTTTTAATGGATGTAACATATGTTTTGTAATTGGATAGTTCTAGACTAAATATATATTTTGTCTGTGATTAGATACTCTTTTTGTCCAATTCTGTTTCATTGGTGCTGTCTAATACTACTTGTACTAGATAAAAAAAAAAAAAAGAGAACATTTTTAGTTAAAATGTTAAAACATTTGCTGCAAGGTTGTGTTTAGGGATTTCCCATGCTCACAGTAGGCTACAAAGGGATTTAAATTGCTAAAAATTTAGCAATTTAATAGAGATGGAAACTTTGTCTAAATGCATGAGAAGAACAGTTCTGCAACTCCTGCTTTATATGGGGTGTGTGATGACATTATAGGGGTGTAACATTCTACTGTTTAAAATCTTCAGCAGGAATAATTTTGAATAGACAAAAACTGTTGTTTGTGATCCCATCAAACTACTATAGGACTGGGCCTATTTATGAATTACAGGAAGAAGCTGAGTTGACTTTATTTAGTCTTGTTAAAGAGAGGCTTAGGGATGATCAAATAGCAGCTTACAACTGTTTGAAGGACAAACATCATGGTGTTGGAATTCTCGATGGTCAGAGGATATAACAAATGGCAGTGGTCACATACAACAGATTGGGAGGTTTAGATCAAACACTTGGAAAAATGTCTATACTAGAATGATCCTGCAGCAGATTATACAGTGATATAGAATCTTGGTTCATGGAGATTTTTAGGATTCAGCTGGAAAAAGCCATGGCTCACCTGACTAGTGTTGGCAGTAATCCTATTTAAAGTGGGGTATGGGACTAAATGGTCTTCTAGAGTCCTTTACAACCACCACTTATATGATTCTCTTAATTCTGTCTTTAAGTGATAGTTCATAAGGTTGATACAGTAACCAAGGGGTTTACAAGACTGGATTTTTTAAATAAATAATGCAATACTCATGCAGACATATTCACCCTCCTTCTCACCTATGCTCATCTCACAAGCAAGTAAAGAAGAATGCACACCTTGATGGACAGTTGTTATTTATTATCCTCAACATCTACAAAGTGCCCTTCATACCCTCACTAAATCTTGTAATACACTAACACATCCGTGAATAATACAATATTTATCAAAACCATCCTACAACTGTTTATTTGAAAGACATAGATCCCATTCTTGGAAGCATTGATGTAGTGGAAATTTCTTCTTGGTCAACAGCTGTGCAAATGTATGTATTGATCTTTAGTTGCTAGGTGTTCTAGAAAACTTCTGGTAACTAAGACATTGGATTTTAGAAAAGCAGATTTTGAGTGATTGAGTCAGGCTGAATGGAGAGACAGGAATTTATATATGGAGATAAAACAAAACTTTTAAGTGAAAAGTGAAGACATTGCTGCTTGCATTCCAGTAAACCATGAAAATAAATATTTCTAGGTGAGTAAGAAGGTCAGGAAGTAAGCTCAAGAGCTATGTCAAATAAAATAAAGAATGAGTCCAAAATAAGAGTTAAAACTGAAAGCAAAAAATATAAGAAAATGAGAATGATCACAAACCTGGTAGTTTGTGTCGTAAGGTGTTTTCAAATCAGCAGTAGGAAGCTGTTTGCCTACATTTAATAATGTGAAAAAAATGAGGACCATTGTTCATAGAACAAAGAATAGTCTTAGATTTTTATTTTTATTTTTGCAAGATTCTTGAGATTTTTCTACTAGAAATGTAGAGAAAATAATGGCAATCTGTGGAGAAAGCAGTGTGGTTTTTTTATGATGAAACCAAGGGACTTGGAGAATCTCTACTGTAGAAAATCAGAAGACCTGGCACCTGAAACTGCAAACCTGAAAGCTTTATTCCCTTGAGCTCCTTGGGACAGGAATCCAAGAGCTTAGCTGCCAAAGGCCATATGGCTAGTGCTGGCCTTTGTGCCTAACTCTAGTCTACCACGTATTCTGGATAGATAAAACTCATATTGTTTTTCAGAGCACCACCTTTGAAGGCAATTTGTAGGGTTCAGCTCTTTGGTGAGTAGTGTCAAGTATCAAGAAAATTTGACCTTGCAAAGGTCATATGCTATTTTTTAATGTAAAAAATTAATAACTTTTCCTGTTTGTGTACTATGATGAAAATATTTGACCTTTTCAGAGTCTGAAAAGTAGAATTTTTTCTTCTTCCCCTCAGCCCCTCTTAGCGCTGAGTTTTCTCTCCTTGCAATAGAGTTTTCTACCAGGTCCAAATATAATGGTCAGTAAGATTCAGAGAGCATGTCCTCTTTTAACAGTAACTTCTGAAGTCTTACTTTGTTCACTTGTAGGAAAACTTGTGTCTTCTCTTTGGACCTTCTCTTCCCAAGCCAACCCTTTCTATGGAAGCTAGGAAAAAGTAATTTTCTTTAGCTTAGCAATTTTTTTCAGTATTAATATTATTCTAATGAATACTTTAGGATATAAGCAGGTGATCTAAAATTATTATGGTGGAGCAGCTTAAGAAGTTACCAGCCCTCATCCTGGGATGTGATCATTTACTGGTTTTCCTAATTGGTTGTTTATAAAAAAAAAAAAAAAAAGTTGCCTAAGAAACAGCTGTTGTTTGTTGTTCTGTGCTTCGATTGTAATATTTTGGGCACTGTGATTTCTGTTTTGTTTATAGTTTGCTTAAGTAAATTGATGCAGATCTGTTTCTACAAGGGAATTTAGATAATTCTATAGTAAAATTCATAGTAATAGACATACACAGCTCAAATACTTTAAATTATTTATCTTATTGTGTATTATCTTGTTGTGTAATGAAAAAAATCTATTAAGTACAGCAGGCTTTCCTAGTGCTCCAGTGTGTGCGAGAAGTAAGGCTAAAGAATAAATGAATGCACTGTAATTAAACAAACTATTTGTACTCTAGTAAAATCAACTGTTCATTATATGCTTTTCATACTTTATGGTATTGAAATGCCACAAAATAATTTGCAGCACCTAGTATTGTCATTTAACAAAATGTCTTTTTTTCTGGAGTTAAACTCTGCACGCTGTCAAAAGATTTAAGAAGTTAGGTAAAAAATCCCTCTTGCACAAGGATATTTGTTCTTACCCAGGTTTTGCAACCTGCTTTTTGGATGAGTATGCTGTATCCAAAGCCCCTGTTTGCTTTATTGCCTGCTGTGCTGTCAGCTCTTGACTTTGGTTGGGTTCTGCTGTAAGCATTTCTCTGATCCTGTTCTGCAGCCCTGCATATATCCTCATTCAAGAATTCTATATATTTAAAAGTAAAAGCTGGGCATTAGATGTTGAATTTGATTTGAGGTTACTTTGATGACAATGTCTGATGTGAGACTGTCTCTGCTGTAGTGTATGGTTACAGCTGGTTGCATGGTGTTAGGAAGAGCGCTCCCAGCAGCTTGAGGGAGGTGATCCTTCCGCTCTGCTCAGCACTGGTGAGACTGTATGTGCAGGGCTGTGTCCAGTCCTGGTCTCCCCAGTACATAGGAGAAGAGGCTGAGAGAGCTGAGACTGTTCAGCCTGGAGAAGATATGTTTCGGGACAGTGTGGGTGTGAATCTTAGCAATGCATATAAATAGGTGTCTGTATCAGAGGAGGAATAAAGAATACAGAGTGAGTCTCTTCTCAGTTGTATCCAGTGATAGGCCAGGAGGCAATGGGTGCAAACTGATATACAGGAAATTCCTCTTAAAACATAAGAAAATGATTTTTTTATTGCCAGGGTGGTCAAACATTGGAACAGGTTGCTCAGAAGTTTGAGTCTCTGTCCTTGGAGATGCTCAAAACCCAGCTTGATGAGGTGCTAAGCAACCTGCTGTAGCAAGCACATGTTTTGAGCAGGGGGTTGGACTAGATCATCTTCAGTGGCCTCTCTCAACCTCAACAGTAGCATGATACTGTGATGACCCCTCACCACTCTTTCCAGACAAAGGGAGTAGGGAGTGTTTCTTTACGGTATTGGCTCTAAAGTTGGTTTTGCTGATATAAAATAATTGCAGCCTATAATTGATAAAATAATTTCTTTCTACATTCGTATACTTAAAAAAATATTTTTTTGAGCAGCTTTAAATGGTGCTCTTCTGTTTGCTTTGTTTTTCAGCCATTCTTATATTGGCCCAGATTACAGCGTCCAAAAGAACACTGGAAAAATTTCTCTAGAGCAGATTGATTCTGTAAGTCCTCTGTGTTTCTGGAGTTATGTAGTATGTTGAAACATAACTTTTTTAATTCAAATACTCTATGTACAAACAACATAAAAAATGTTTCTCTTTTTTTTATTCGTATTTTATTTTTAACTGTTGAATGAAATTGTGATAAAGTTCAAAATAAACCAGAATTAACTAAAAATGCCTCTAATCAGGGCTATAATGAATTGCCTAATTTTCCACTTAATTTTGTGTACTTTCACAAATACCTAACATAATTATAAGGAGAGTTTAACTAAATTTTCTTATTGAATAATCTTGCAACCCATGATGTTTAGTTTATGATTATTCCATTCCAGTATTAGTATTTTCACTGCTCTTTTTTTTGACTTACAGAAGGGGTTTTGAAAACAAGGAAGTAAATAAAATGGATTGTAAAACACACGTGAATGTTATAGAGTCAATTAAAAACACATCGTAACTATTTTATCTGAATTTTAAGAAATGTGCGTGTTTTCAGTGTCCATCTTAACCATTATAGAATTCCTCTGGTAGTGAATTCGATGTCATGACTCACATGTTAAAAAATTAAAATGCAAAGCCTAAGTAAAATTGAATGTTACATGTTTTCTGTTCTCTGAGATCTTGCTTTATGCCAAATAGTATTTTTCAGGGAGTAAAACCTGCAGATTAGTTGGAAGGAATTTTACTCTTGCTTGTTGTTTTTCAAAGATGTTTTTTAGAAAAAAGTCCCCTTCCCTAGCCCCCAGAAACTCTTATCATAGGTCACTTTGCTGTTCCAGCAGCTGAAATAAGGAAGAGACAAGAAATATTGTAATGGAATTGTAGATATATGTTTCCTGACAGCAATTAAACCTGTGTTACTTTGTAGCTGAAGATAGTCTGTATCCCTCTGTCCTTTAGCTTTTGAGATAGTTGTTGGATTTGATGGCTTACGGACGCACTTGTGTTATGGTCAATCCCAAAGCTCTCTGTACACGCATAGTTTTTCTTCCAGCCATTGACGTTTTCAAGTGGAGCTAGTTAATAATCACAAGAAGCATGTATCCTACAAATTAAATGATCAGTATGCCTTAAACAGGAATTTTTCTCTTGCCAGCTTTCTGTGAAGTCGTTCCCTCTCTGCATGCGGCAGTTGCACAAAGCGCTGCGCGACAGCCATCACCTCCGTCACGGGGGGCGGATGCAGTATGGGCTGTTCCTAAAGGGCATCGGCTTGACTCTGGAACAGGCACTGGAGTTCTGGAAGAAAGAATTTATCAGAGGAAAAGTGGATGCAGATAAGGTAACTCAACAAGTGAAAAATATCTAAATATGTGAATGTGAGGATGTAGTTGATGTGTACGTTGCATTACAGATTTGAATAATAATAATAATGACCAGTCTTCACGAGCGAAGATTTGGGAAAGGTCATTAACCCTTCGAGCCTGCGCAGTGGATTTTTTAGGTGAGACACAGCGTGCGCTGAACTGAGCCCACCCTTTAATCCTGAGGTTCATCTGCCGGGGCCGAGCAAGCTTGGACAGTGGACGTAGGTTTGTTTAGAGTGACCTTCTCTTAGATGGATTGCCTTACAAGGCTGACGAGCTCCATCTGCCCGGGGGGCTGGGAATCGAACCCGGGTCGCAGCGGTGAGAGTCCTGCACCCTAACCACTAGACCACCAGGGGCCCCACAGATTTGAATAGGTGCTTGTTAAAGTAAGTAATTGGGCAAAAGGCACAGTAATGTATTTTAAAGGTGGGGGTTTTTTCCTCTCTTTGCTTATGATTGTAGTAATTTTGTTGGGCATTTGCCTGTACTGTGGATAAAAAAGGCAAGCTACAAAGAGGCTTTTTATTGATGAGTACTAGAAATATCTTACTTTACCATTAGATTACTAGGAAGCCGATGTCCTTTGTGAAATACAGGTATTATGTGACTAAATTAATTCACCAAGCAGGTAAGTGACCACAAACATCTGAAAGACAAGGTTAGCTTTTTTTGTTGGTTGATTAAAAAATATATTAATTGGACATCTGTGTGTGAGGTAGGCTTGCCTTAGCAAATTTATGGTCTAAGAATAAAAAAAGAAACTGGAGAAGAATGGAGACAGAACAATATGTGCAAGGAAATGGTGAAAAAATGCTGTTCAGTGCAATGGGAGGCATTATTGACATATTCATTGGCCTAACCCTTGCTAATATTTTTGATAGTATCATGAGTGAGGAAGGTGTAACATATATATATATATGCTATCTCTTTGAGAGCATGAAAAATACATGCTAATTTTTGAAGGATTGTGACCTGCTCTTTAACTTGAACAGCTTAGGTAGAATGAAGTAGGCTGCCTCTTTTTTTCTAGCTCCTTATATGTTATGATTTAAGAGGAGATACTTAATTTGTTAAAAAAGAAATCCAAAACGCATTTCTGTAGAAAAGTTTCAAGAACATCTCTGAAGAGAGGTAATAAAATTTTTAGTGGAATGCCAATTACTTCCTAGCTGTATTGAATTTGCATGGCCAGGTTTTGGTAGGGGATGAGGCTACAGGGATATGGCTTCTGTGAGAAGCTGCTAGAAACTTTCTTCATGTCCGGCAGAGCCAATGCCAGCTGGCTCCAAGATCACTGGCCCAGGCCAAGCCCATCAGTGATGGGCATAGCAACTCTGGGACATTCTGAACATATTCAAGAAGGAGGAAGAAAAATTTTGTGCAATAGCAGCTTCATCCAGAGAGAGAAGAGTTGAGACTATGTGAGAGGAACAGCTCTGCAGACCCCACGGTCAGCGGAGAAGGAGGGGGAGGAGTAGGTGCTCCAGGCACCAGAGCAGAGATTCCCCTGCAGCCTGTGATGCAGAGCATGGTGAAGCAGCTGTCCCCCTGCAGCCCGTGGAGGTCTGCGGTGGAGCAGAGATCCACCTGTAGCTCATGGAGGACCCCAGGCCAGAGTAGGTAGATGCCCAAAGGAGGCTGTGATTCCATAGGAAGCTTATGCTGAAGCAGGCTCCTGGCAAGGACATGTAACGCCAGGGAGAGAGGAGCCCACTCTGGAGCAGGTTTGCTGGCAGGACTTGTGACCCCACGGGGGACCCATGCTGGAGCAGTCTGTTCCTAAAGGACTGCACCCATGGAAGGTACCCATGTTGGAACAGTTTGTGAAGAACTGTAGCCTGTGGGAAGGACTCATGTTGGTGAAGTTCGTGGAGGACTGTCTCCCATGGGAAGGACCACACACTAGAACAGGGGAAGAGTGTGAGGAGTCCTTCACCTGAAGAGGAAGGAGTGGCAGAGACAACGTGTGATGAACTGACTGGAACTCCCATTTCCTGTCCCCCTGCATTGAGTGGGAAAATCAGGAGTGAAGCCAAACCCAGGAAGAAGGGAGGGGTGGGGGGGAAGGTGTTTTAAGATTTAGTTTTATTTCTCATTACCCTACTCTGATAGGTAATATATTAACTTTTCCCCAAGTCAGGTCTTTTGCCTGTGACAGTAACAGGTGAGTGATCTCTCCCCATCCTTATCCCAACCCATGAGCCCTTTGTTATATTTTCTCTCCCCTGCCCAGCTGAGGAGGGGAGTGATAGAGCAGCTTTGGTAGGCACCTGAGATCCAGCCAGGGTCAACCCATGACAGTAGTTGAATTCAGGAAAATCCAGACTTTTCAATTGCCATTTCCTGTGCTTAAAGGAAACTGAAAGAACAAAAGCAAGCTATTAGAAACAATAACTGTATAAAGATACACATTTGTTATTTCTATTTTCAAAAAATATTGGGAGAACATACCTGATTCCACCTACTTGAGCTTTGACTGAGTATGTACATGCACATGTATGAAGATATGTATGCACCTTGGATCCTATTTTCAATCACAGGTTTATGACTTTCTACTGTAGCATCTTTGTTAATAGACCCTAGAAATAAATGAAGTTTTATGATCCTATGTTTAGCTTCAGTAGTTAGCATATTGTGAGTCAAGCAAGGGGTTGTAGTTACTGCATTTGTCACAAGCAGGCTTCTTTTTCCATGTAATTTTGGTTCTTCTCAAGTTCTAGAAAACGAGCTTCAAACTGGGGTAAAAAAGAAAACTTAATTTTTCACACCTCCAGCTGAAATCAGTGGCCTGTAATTTTTCACAGTAAAATGTCATACAATGTTTAATGTCCTGAAAAAATGAAGATTAATACAATTGTTATTGGTATTTTCTTCTTTTGACATTTTTGTTTTCTGGCATTCATGCCATTGTTTCTTTCCTGTAGAGTGGAGATAATTATACTGTTTTATCTTACTGGAGTATTGTGAATATACACATGCGATACTTTCTAAATATTAAGGTTAATTATGTAGTTACCAACTGGTATTTTGCAAAAATGGAGTGTTCAATTTGCTTCAAGTGGTTATGATTTCAAAATTGTTTGTTTGCATTTGTTTTTAATGGATGCAACATCTATGCCAGTTCTCAATCCAAAGAATTCTTGGCAAACAACTTCAATCTTTAGTGGGATAGAAGTTACCTTGAACACATCAGCCTGCATGTCTCCAGGCTAAGTGTAGGCACATTGACAATTTGCACCAAAAAGATCTCCTGTGTTCTGAATCACTGATGTGAACATGCCTCAGGGCTCGTTGATAAGAACACCGCAGAAAAACTTTTAAGAAATTATATTTTACCTTTAGAGAGGAATCTGTGAAGTATATTGTAACTGAAGTGTGAAACCATGTAGTTAGTGGGGGAAAAAAATAATCAAGTACTGCCTATAAAGAAAGCACTGAAACTGGTACATATGCTCTGTTGGTGGGGTGATGAGGAATGATCATGTACTGGCATGTTCACAAAGAGACAAATGCAGAGTGCAAAATGAACCTTTTTTTGCAAAATGAACCTTTTTTTGTTTAGCCACTGCAATTAAAATTACTCTGCAGATTGCTAGGTTAAGAGTGCCTAAATGGTGAATTATTCTTGTTCAGATGAAAGGATCAACTGCCAAATAATGGTAGATGCATTACTTCTGACTGAATGGTTGTGCCAATTGGCTTCATAACCTCAGTATTGTTTTAAGACTGGTTTGTTTTTTCTACAAATTATAATCTTACTCTAAACAGATATTAATTCTCATAGATTCTTTCGCATTCTGTCCTTCATGCTTAAAAACTCCCCATCCAATCTGAAAACATAGCAGGGGGGTAGGGGAACACATAACTCCAGTGTGCTTTAAAAATACTTGAAATACAAAAGTAATAAGATGACAAGACAAATGAAATAATTACAGTACAGATGTAAAAATTATTTGATAGTTGAAAATAAAGTCCTTAGTCGTAAAGATCATTATAGTGGAGATCATTAATTGGTTGTTACTGTTTTCAGATGTTTTTGTGTGATTAGTCTGTGAATGTGAAAAGGAAGAGTTGAGAGATAATGCAGTACTTCAAACGAAGGAAAGAAGGGATGGAGAATAAGTTTCTTTAAGGGATTATTCAGTTACTTCTTTAGCTAATAGCTTGGAATCGTGGTTTTGATACAGATGGGAGACTTTAAGGCAGCCCATCGCTTTTTGCTTTCTTTTGCTGTATATATACTTGTGATATATATCTCTTTCTTAGCAGTAATTGGTGTATGGTGGTACAAAATGCTCTCTTCTAGTACTCTGATTATTTACTGCTGTGTACAGAAGAACAGTTGCTAGTTGTGCACTTCTGTGTTGAAAAATAATTCCTTTGATATTGCAATTTGATATGGCATTGGCTTTTATTATTGTTGCATATACTACTGAGGTGCATCTTATAATTGTACATGAGTTTGGGGGTTTATTTATTTAATAAATCTCCAGAACTTAAGTGTTACTAAAAATTATCCTGATGATAGAAAAGCTTTCTTGTCCTTGTGTCTTCTTATTGAAAAAAAGGCATGGCTCTTTAGCCCTTGTATTTTCAGACTCTTTCTTCATATGTGGTGACGCTCAGGCTAGTGGAGCATCTCATTCTTTCTGACTCAGTTTTCCAAATCAACTTAGTGCAGTTTCATATGGCTTGTTGTTTTCTATAGCAGTTGATCACAAATGGTAAGAAACAGGTAGTTTTCTAGTTGTCAGAGATTCCTGTCTGAGGTATGCCTCTTCATCCCTTCCCACTAGTGAAGGTCCTCATGACAAGCCATTTTTCTGGAAGAGGAAAGAGAAAAGTTTACACAGATTATTAAACCTTGATCAGAGTCTGTTGTTGGTAAAGAAACAAACCCTTGATAATTAAACTTTTGAACTTCAGTTGATTAGTGTTTTCTAGATGTTTCTTCCACACATGATGATCTGGT